AATTTTACAAATTAAACTAAAAAGCCAATCATCATTAGGTACATAGAAAAATTTGACCATAGAGTCTCAGATTCCTATTTTGTGTTTACTCGACTAATCTCGACGAATAAAAACTAGGTTATTTAACTAATTTGAACACAATGAGTTGGCAGTAATCCAGCTAAACACGTGGTAGTTGTTTTTAAACATTAACAATTTCTAAGTTTATATATTTTTTAATTAAACAAATCTAATTCGTTTCTAATGTTTCTATTGAAACATGTATTACCCAAAACAATATCATATAATATATTATCTATAGTAACTATTTATATAACATCATATTAATATTATAATATAAATCGTTATAAATCATAATAATATAATCTTTTTAAAATACAGTGAAGATGGCTGCCATAAAATATTAATATATTTTAGAATTTTACTTGAAAATTAAAAAAATACATTTTGTTAAAGAACTTATTGTGTAGGTACTCGGCTAAGCTTCTACCAAACTCTATATCAACCCATCTAACTATATGCACTGTGTAGATGATTGACTCTATAAATCAAAACTTAAAAGCAGATAAAATTTCAAATATTAATTATAATTGATTTCCATACATTTCTAACCGATTATATTACTAAATAAATGATTGTTTCTCATCATTATAAAGCGAAAAAAATAATTATAAATTGGTTTGCATATTTTTAAAATTAGTACAATGTTTAAACTTTTAATCAARTTAAAAAATACAATGACATTGTTGGATAGAGACGTAGAGGTGTCGTTGTCTAGAGACAATCTAGTCATTGAATAAGTTACACTGATGAAATGAATTTGTTAAATTTGAATTCAATAATAAATCAATGTAAGTATCTACCTATATTATGAAAAAAGAGACGGTATGTCAGCCAATCATAATAATTCTGCAGTTTTAACGAATTTCATCAACATTTCAGATACTATACGCTCATAAAAAGTTAATGTGACTTTAAACCAAACTTTTTTTTTAATCTTCGTATGAAAAACTTATGAGAAACCGTGTATATTATATTTTTAAGCCCTAAGTATAAAAATTAAAAATCGAATGTATTTTTAACTAGGTRCAAAAAGTTTGCAAATTTGGTRTTTTTAAAAAATACTTTAACTTTTGAATCGCACTTATAAAAAAATTGTGTGTACTTATTATATTTTTAATTTAGTCAATTTTTAATTACTGTCATTTAAACTGGTGAGGAATTGTGTTTTTCAAGCTTTTTACTCATCATGAACAAAATTTTGTCATATAAATTTAATTTAAATTRAAAATGACAAATATATTCAATTTTCTATGATAATTTCTAGTTTCTACGGTTAAAAACGATGTTTTGTTTTACTTCATAAATCAAAAATTAAATCATTTAAAATCTAGATTCGCATAAATACTCCCGATTTTTGTATTTTTTTCACTCAATTAAGTATCACTAAAGTGCCGCAAAATTTCTACTCTTGCAGACTCCTGAGCACCGACTATATCCAACTTGCTGAAAAAACAAAAATCACTATTGGAGCGTTATTTCTATCATAACTCACTCATAATCTAATACTATCATATTATTTTGTAAGACATTTAAAAATTAAAAATAATAATTTGTTAGTACCCGCCAAACAAATATTTATATTTTATATAATGTGAAAAAGTATTATTATTATTATATTATTATCAAAATATTATACAACCAAAAAAATTAAGGCATCTAAAATTCATTCAATATTTTGCAATATATAGGTACAAGAATATATGCAACGCGACGTATTATTTATCATCCATATGTATTTCAAAGGTATTTTGTATTTAATCCGATAACAAATAAACTAATTTCATAAAATAAGTTATGATGTTATATGAACATTTGAATTGCATTTTTTTCAATAATATTAGGTAATAAATTTTATTTTTCCTAAAAGATTCTCAAAACAATAAATTATTTTWCAGAACAYGCATTTTTAAGGAGTAACGCAATTCTGAAAACACTATCATACAATTTATGTCTAATATCGGATGATACACCGATAAAAAAAATAATAGATATATTCAATTTTAACTTGAAAATATAAAAAAAAYTAYMTWGAAACCATTTCGAATTTCCCGCACATTAAAAATAATTATTAKAGTAATATTATTATATTCTGAGACTCGAAAACTACTATGAGAATATTAAAATTTATTAATTATTTTATGTAGATATTCGCCATTTGGTATGTAGCATGATTATTTATAAATGGTTTAGTATGAAAAAGTTCATAGCAATATAATATTTACTTTTACATTTACACGAGCAATTTTTAATTTTAGATGTTTTTTTAAAGTTGTGGTGCGAAAGCAGAAAATTCAACTAGTAACTTCCCGTTCTTCTTAAATGCCTTTATGGATAGTGATTTTAGCTGTGCACAGATAATCACATAMAATGGTCACGAAACGAAGACTAATTGTGCCTGATTATTTTATTACCTACCTGTTTATATATTTCTTGTTGGGTAACGCTTCCTTGGTCAACACTTCAAACGTTCATATTATTCATATRTATGGAAAAAGAAACATTTCAAATAACCAGAGTTAAAAAATAACTGAGGAACYTGTACTAAACAGTCAATTATATAATATATTTAATATTTATAGAACAATTAGTTTTCAAAATTGTTTACTATCTCTATTATGAAAACTCTGTAATTAATAAAGCTCTAAGTCCAATAACAAGAAAAATAATCATCATTTTTGAAATTTTATTGTCAACGTTGTATACCTACATAATTTCTCTCGAGTCATCAAGTATTGTATAGTGCTAAACTCTTGCAGCACGATGTAAGTGCAATTGTACAACAYCCAAAAGATAAATGTGTAAGAAATATTCTTTGGTAGAGGATGGGCTACTATACTTTCCGTAAAGCTAATACACTAAAAATGAGAAAACATGGTTATCAACACCCTGTACACGTAAACGAGAAAAATAATTATTGCTGGTAGCTCGTGGTGGCGTAAGTCGTTTTAATTGCTTTTTCGACATAAATTTCTCATTTTGCGGGTGGATGAAWCATTATTAATGTCCACAAACTGTGGTTATATTGTGCAGGGTGAAAGAGGCAATAGCCATAAATGACAGTTACAAAAACCTGAACCCGAGAGGAGGTTTTCGACTATTATTTTTAAAATAAACACATTTATAAGGTAAGTACAACAATAATATTATATTGATATGTATACAGCAATAAATTATAAGTACACGGGAAGAAGAAGATAAATGTTGTGATAGATCTACTGCAGAATAAGACAATATCTATAATTTATCTTTATGTATGGTATGCGGAATTCGTTCGTTTCCAAATACTAAAATTATGATCATTTATGAAGTATTAACAAAAAAAAATTGTGATTTTTTTCTCTGTGGAAATCTCCCCAAACACTTCCCATGTCTTGGCGCTTCACGTTAGACAACAATACAGCATATTAGGTATGAGCAGACGTGCAGTTACGTTTTTAGCTTCAATAACTGTCTGCAGTGACGAAATTTAAAAAGTCTTTATTATGAAACCTCCAAAAGTGATTAGACCACTTGTACAATATATAAATTACAGATTAACGTCATTTCGATTTATTTTTGTAAAATTAGATAAATATGTCGAAAGAAATTTATACGCAATTAAATAATCCAAAAAAAAAAAAAGATTATTAAGTAGGAACACGCTTCATACCTATTTTACATATTATTTTAGTGAATACTTAATAGTAAATAAGGCTTGCCAATTATATAACATTATTTAATATCGTCAGCGACACGCACGCACGCACGCACGTACCTAACCTAACCGCGGTAAACCARGTACTTATTAATTATTTTTTATTTTTATTTTATTATATAAATATAAAATAATACCTCTAAACCTACGATTGTTTCTCCCTATAACTGTTTCACGGCGTCGATCAATGTACACTTAAATTAATACCACAGATTAAGATGGACAAACTGTTAAAATACTAAGCAGTAAGTATATGTATATCTGTAAAGGAAGCGGTCAAAAATCTATTTTCAAACTTAATCCAAATAAATTAGCGATCAAATGTTACACTCGCAGTTTTTGCAGCATTTTAAAATGATCGATTAAAGGGACAGTACTAATTGAATCTAAACATAGATATTTATAGTGATCCAAGTTTGAAGTTAGAAACGTAATTATTCGATTGTTTCATCGGGTCGCTCGTTGATTGTACTAAAAACATACCAAACAATTTAAATTAAACTTTAATAACCATTAATGATTTGTATTAGATCAATATTCTTCCTTTATTTTAGAATTAATGTTAGACAATATTAGATCCCTAACATCCATAATATTATAAATTATAAAGCTATGTACCGCAGTGCTCGGCTTGTAAAGTGATATTGGAAGTKCTCTGATGACAAAAAAACGTGCGTCCCCCAGCTAAATATTACATGTGGTACAATATTACACACATTTCGTATTTTTATACACAAAAAAAAAAAAAGTTACATTGCAATTTTGCGACAAAAATCCTAAGCGAAGTGATTTCTCTTACGTCCTAATGCAAATAAGAAAATACCTACACTAAAAATGATCTGAAATTTAATTGCGGTACCTTTGCGTACTTCCAACCCTTCCAGCCACTATATACTGTCCTAGTAATCAATATGGGAGGGGAGTTTATACGCTTGTCGGCAATCACAGTTTTCCAGAGAACAAAATCGGAGGTAGGTATACGTTGCGAGAAAATATACGGCAAAAAATTTTTTAAAAAACCATCGTCGTCCGTCGTCTATTCGCGAGGTGTCTACTGCACATCGTGGTGCCGAGTGTCGGCGACGAGTAAATGTATATATTATATTTATAATATTAATTCTTATACAAGCATGCAAGTGGTTCGTTRGAGGGGGTAACCGAGTCCAAGTGCAAGGTAAGGGCGGGAGTTGGCCGTAAGTGCATCTGCAGGTGCGTTTTGTCGGCCAAGGTGTATAATACCTACCTATTGCAAGTCGGTGTGCAGTCTTGGTCCGGTGCAGCGGTTACGCCATCACCGCGGATGACGCGTGGGCCAGTGGCGACCTGTGGTGACGGCGGCGGCGGTTACCGGACGACAGTGATAATATTGCCTCCGTACAACAGACCAACGAGACAGTCCGGCGCGGTGACCGCCGACATGGTGACGGTTATGCGGCGCGCAGCGGTCGGACCGCGCCGCGTTCAACAGTATAATATTATTGGTAGCGTGTACTATTAATATTTAACAATATAATAATTATTATTACAAATKATATTTATCGCGTGGTGCTAATAATGTCATATCGTGGCGTGTATTACGTGACGAAATATTGTGATGCATAATATTTCGTGGTGTTGTTATTATTATTATTATCTGGCGCGTGTGTACAAAATACTACAACTGTGAAATTATTACGGACCGAAGCGGACATATACGACGGGACACACGCACAAGCACACGCGTTCGCCCGCGATCGCTCCGGTCGGACGCCGGCTGTAGTATTAGCGGCCGCGGGACGACTGACGCGACGAGTCGGCGGGACGACTGGCGCGCGGAGTCGACGGGACGCTCTGTTCTGTGCGTACTCGCCGACGAGCCAACGCGCGCGCCGCCGAACGTGTGTGTGCGATACGATGTCACGCCGCCGGCGCGTCCGTGGTCGTCGTCGGCGACGGTGGCGGCGGACAACAAGTGCTTCTTGACCGTGTAGTCGGCGGCGCTTGCGTGCCCGCTGCAGCCCACCCGCGGGTCGTGCCGTTTACGCGTGATTCTTCGTCGGCTCGCATATGTGATATTATGGGGTGACAGTGATGTTTGGCCCCCGACCTGGTGGTTCGCCCATAACCGCGGTTGACGCCCTCGACAAAAAAAACCCTCATGTCACGCGACGGGTTTCCTTAGTAATTTTTTTGTTGTATATCGTTCGAAAAACCTTTAATGCATCGGTAATAATAGGCAACTAGCGGACCGTGGAAGATAGAAAACTGGACCGTCAACATATTATTATCTTATAATTTTGATGTTAAACTTTTAGATTTTTTTTCTCCAATAGAAATTACTTTCCAATCCCTACTTAATGCTTCGGCTACCTTAATTTAATATATAATACTGTATAAGTATAAGTAATGAAAAAAATTTAAAAAAGATTACTAGGGGACATTTCTCAGTSCTTGTTCGCTCACCAACCACCTGTAAAGTGGACCAAGACCACCCCGTCAACCCACACTGTCCTATCGTGAAGCTTTGTTCCCGCGACTTAGAAGGTCACCCATATTTGCATCTTCTAATTTTAAACGAAATATACAAAACTCTTTTTTATAATAGTATAATGTTGAAATATATTACTTTCATAATACGCATTGCGTAAGTTTTTAGTCTTTAATTTGTC